TCCAAAAATTAAATTACGACCTAAAAGGTATACCACAACATTTATTGACTGTGTTCTCAGAAAAATCGCATATTTTCGACCCTCTAACCAAACGGTTCAGGCAAATAGTTTCAATATTAGTTCTTGGTTCGGACAAAACGCATGTTGCATCGAAACCAGTCAATAACATATATGTATAATATCAAGTTCTTTTTCTGATACGAGGTATGAATCATTTTAATCATAAGTATAAACCACAATATTATCTTCAAATTGATTTTTACAAAAAAAGTAAGACTTAGTGAAATTAGCTTACAGAAAAAAGTATAAATGCAGGATTTATCAAAATTTGTTTCATAGTGAGAAAGAATTTTGTTTATTCCTAATGGGATTCGATGTTTTACTCAATATTTTAGATGAAATATTAATCTTATTTAAGTAATTATGCACAGTTTGTGTAAATTTTTTTTATTAAAACCACTATTTCTTTCATGTTAAGGTACTCCAATCCTCAGCCAGGAAGGATAATTCTTTAATTTATAATTTAATTCAAGAAGTCTGAAAATGAAGCTTGAAAATTAAATCTTTTCATACAAGATTTTCATTTTATACCTCTCACTGTGCTTCAAGGTTCTTGGAAGTTCTCAGCAAGTCGAAATTTTTTACCCTATCAAAGTATTTTAAAATTACATATTTAAACAAATTGGGGTTCTATTAATCTAACCTTAGATACCAATGTTTAATAACATGATGTGAAATAAGATTAAGGAATGGTAGGAAAATCCTTATACATTGTATAAATGCATTCTATGCATTGTAAAATGATCGAAGTAAATAGAAGAAATTAAAGCACGTTATATATATAAAATTTGTGCAATTTGTTCAGAAGCCTGGATACCTATGATTTTTATTTCTAAAATATGTTTATCGATCAAATGAATTGAAAAATGCATAGCAGGTGTTTTTATTCACATTACCTTAAAATTTATCTGAGATTTACGAATGTCTCCTATATAATATGATAAACTTAGAGTGTGATAAAGTTGAAGTCTGAAGAATTATCGTGAGTAAAAACACATTACTTTGAGAATTCAGAGACATTTTTGTGAGCATTTCAATTAGTCAATGCCTGATTTTCAGAACCTGAGGATCAGCGTACCTTAAAAACGCCCCTCTTGAGAATTTTTCGCTTATATGGAAACGCCACCATTTGCCGGTGGAAGGCTGCACATTTTGTCATATTGTAGGCACGAAGGACCATTGTGCAGTGAAGGAATCTTTTTCGTGCCAACACTTATTGCGACATGGGATCTTGGTTTATTCGGTATCTACCGAAGGGCAGGCTTCAAGACCATAAACAGAGAACAGACTTAAGTCAATTAAAAAAAAAATATCTTGAGTTTTTTATATCGTAAATTTTGACTTAAGTCTGTTCTCAGTTTATGATCTTGGGGCCAGGTCTCTACGTCTCGCACTGTGATTCAACCCAGAAACGTAAGAATCAACTCCTTACTCCTTACTCCTTACTTAGAGAATGTTGAGAATAACCTATAGTTTCTTAAAATAGAACTCGCTGCTTTCCATGAGCAGTGAAATATCATCTCCACGGAAACACGTGATCTGCTTCTTTTTATATATTTTTCGTATGTCTCGCTATAACAAAACAAATTAATAATTCTGATACTAGTATATTTTCTCAAGAAGATGACAGATCATTAGAACTTTTCATTTCAAAATTCCTTGCATGAAGCCATAATTGTCATGACAACTATGAAACTTTTTAAGAAATAGATTTTTTTTATTCTTCTTTATGTTCTTTAATTAGATCTTATGTTAATTCTTTTGGTCTATAATATACATACCGGTAATACATTTATAGAAGGAAGTTTTAAAATATAAGATTTTTCTCCAGTTTTCTAAATTATAAATAATTTGACACCCCCCACCCCCACCCCGTTTGAATATACCAATTTTAGAATAAAAATAATCATTCTTGTTCCTTCATACAAACGCATTCATGGTTCAAAATAGCTAAAAATACCCCTCCCTCTTACAACTACCACCACATTTTAAGCCCGCAAGGTCTGTCAATGCCAGTTTCATAACTTTCCTAAAATAGTTGAAAAATTGATCTTGAAATAAAAGTTACACGTATTTTAATAGAAATACACAGAAAATGTTCAAAGTTCAACATCTCAACTTTCTTGTCTACTTTGAATGCTTATGACAGGGTGCTTTCTGGAAGACCAGCGCGTGTATTTGCTGGAACTGTTATTTGTCAATTCTGTGATATGGTATTGTCAGGTTGATAAAAGAAATCAAAAATAGCTAGCTAATTTACCTCAGCTTAGATAACATTATTTATTGATAAATATAAAGATTTCTGATACTGTTTCCATTTCAGGCATTTTCTTCATTAAAGAAGTTTAATGGTTGAACAAACATGTATATGGATTGACATGATACAAGAAATAAATTACATGTATATAAAATAAAATTTTCTAAGCATGGATCGATGTATCTTATCTCTGCAATTAATACCAATCATGGAATACTTATCTCAAAAACAAGAATATATTTCTATACTGAAGCCTTAAACTGCAGTATATAATAATTTCCTGATCGCAAAATAAAAGTGTATATAATTTAGGTGTAGAAAAAAAGTTCTGTTAATTTTTTAAAGAAATTAAAAAGCAAATTTATTTAGGTATATTCAAAGATCGTTATATTGGCAAATTTTTTAAAGTTTATGATAGAAACATCACAAATTAATTTTTTTGCAAGAGCAGAGCTCCTTCCCCTTAATATATACCACTAATGTTCATGAGAATTCACTGGTAAAATTATATTCGAATTATAATCAATTTTTGTTTAAGAAGCTATGCAAGATATCATTTCAGCTTTTAATCTTAGTCCCTGAAGTAAATATTTTCATTCAGTACAACAACAAACAACAACAACAAACTATATTAGTCGGACTTAATTTAATTGAAAACAATTACTATGTTAAGTTATCGTAAACATACATGTGCGTTTAAATGGGTTTGTCATTCTTTTCTCTTACAATGTTCATATAAAAAATTGCGTTATTTAACTTTCCACGTCACTAACGGCTCTTACGTCTGAAAGGCGCTTAATTCAATCCATAATAAAGGTTAACGACGTTAACAATACGAAAAGAGAAATTTAGAGAATGTAAATATTGTAAACTGAATGTAAATATGTGAATTGAATTCTTATTTTTGGATGTCGTCGATCATTTAATAGCACCTTTCCGTGCCGACAAATTATAACATACCGGTATTCAATTTATCAGCATGACCAAGTGATGTACGTTATAGAAAAACAACATCAAAAAATAAGAATTCAATGCTTAAGTATCAAGTATTTTTATACATGTGCGAGCTATGTGTAATAAAAACTAATATTTTTGCTTTTGATGTAACATAATTTTTCTTCAAAATAATATGTAACAGCTATTGGGGTAAAATTGTTGGTTCTGAATACTTTCGGATGGTATATATATGGAGAAAACAAACAGTATTCAAGCTCAAAATCAACAAACAATACAAATCAGGAGCAGAGAAAACACGGACCTCTAAAATATTAAAGGTGGGATCAGATGCCATGGAGGAGTAGCATCCCCTGCCGACCGGTCACATCCGCTGAGTACTCCTTGTCATGATTGGGTAATAACGGAAAAATCCCTCAACGATTCGAGGTTTAAATAATGTCCGCCAATTTGTTTGAAAAACTTCAGATTGTACTTCGAGTAGTATATGCTGGCAAAATCGTTGTATCGACCATAGAACCTACCAAATTTTATGTTGAAAGAGACTGTTGATATTCTTGTTTCATCAACTTGTTTGTCTGCACTTAATTAACTCGTTTTAGAAATTATTCTCACATAAAGTATGCTCTTGCGTATCGTAGCAACTGAGAAACATAAACCCCATATAGATGATGAGATTATATTGCTGCATCCTATTGAATTTGTCGATTGGAAAGTTAAAGTCATCACGTTTATCATAAAACTTTATTGTTAGATAACCATTAATTTTTTTCTAGGAATATATCAAGATACTAGTATGAAACAGATATGTCAGACTCTGTAGTTTCTTTTATTTTCAAAATCAATGGGATATATTATGTTGACATATGAATAGAAATACCTATTGTTAATTGATGAAATATCGTCGACACATCTAAATGTCGAGAGTTTTCTTTTCTCATGCGTTAGATTTAGAATGAATGCTGCTTCATATGAACACAAAAAGGGTCTGCTTACAAATGGGTGCATTTGGTACCCATGGGAATTCCAACAGATAGTTAGGAAACCTGGTCAAAACCACATAGATACTGTCAATCAGAATCTCTTTTTATTATCAACTTCAGAGTACAATCAGAATGTTTTTACACAAAAGTAATTTTGCAAATGACAAGTGACAAGATAAGTACATTTACGAGTTCCATTTTTATTGCTAAAAGGGAAAGTTTTTTTTAATGTTATAATTGCAAAGATCATGTGAACTTCATTATTTTTTTTTATGTCAGGAGAAATTTTCCTTAGCAGGGGAGAATTCATTTCTTAAACACTTGCTTTACTCAGTATAAAGATATATTGTACAATGAAACACACTGCAAATACTACCCGTTTGACGTCACGTATACTGGGAGCATGTGTGTGTATTTCGTATTGAAAAAGTTTATTTTTTATTTCAATTCTTCTACAATGAGACTCTTGTTATTTGTTTCCACTCTAAGGAGCATTAATAATTTATAGAACAAAATCAAAATTGAACTACATTCATTTGACATTCCCTGACATAGTTAATATGTTCCACATTTTTGTGACCAGAATCAGGAGATCTTGTCAACGATTTTTCAGAGGTGCTTGGGATGCGTTAACCCAAAAGCAAAATGAATTAGAGAACATGAGATAAAATTATCTGAAATCTATATTAAATTTAATGTCAAGTCTTGCGTCTAGTCAGGTTATGATCTACAGGTTTAATACATATAATAAACAGTTAATTTCAATACATTTTATTTATATAACAAATTTTATAACATCTTTTGCAGATTGATTTGCAAGACCTAGTCCTTGAAAGAGCTTCATTCGTCACGAAATCCACTATTTATGACCTATAATCATAATTTCAATACAAACTGATACACAGAAGAAGCAGTAAAAGAACTGGCGCTAACAACCATTTTCTTCCCCCTGAAAAGATAAAAAAAACATTTTTTTTTAGTTTAAAATATATTAATTCATAGAAATGGATTGAACAGCAGGCATAACTGCCTATGATCGTTCTCTCCATAAACATGAAAAAAAAACATTTTCATTGTTAACTGACAATTAATATCGAAAAGCTTTGTTCTGAAATACGTACTTTATTAAAGGAATATGAGCTGCAAGTTTGACTTGGGAAAATTGTGTTGCTAATTCGTAATCAACTTTTTCAAAGACAGAAAAATGGAACGTTTATAAACTTCTATTGTTCATATTTGCGATGGAGGAACTTTATATAAGCTTTAATTGAAGCAAAATGACATTATTGTCGTCCTGTACATCATGGATTTCTTATATAATTCTATATATTTGAATTTACATAAATATATCTTCTGAAAGAAAAAATGGAATTTTTATTTTGGTTATATTAATCGTAAAGGTTTAAATTAGATACAATTTAATCATAATAACACATTCTAACAGCAAAATGATTTTCTCAGAAATGCAGCTCATATTGCTTTAAGCTTTTACATTGTACTTGGAAATAATATATTAAGCTTTCTTTTGAAAAAAAAATCTTTAAACCATTGAATGAAATGGCCGTACCTGACGCAGGGCCAACCTGAATAGTAGCAGAAAGCTCGTGGTGTGCAGGTGCTTCCTCATCGCCTGCTTCACGTTGGGATCTCTTGGACTTACAGGTATTCTGAAAATGGATTGCAATACGTCTCTGACGTATTCTCGTTATGTATGAAGAGTTACTTTTGGAAGGACCAAATTACAATTTCTGTAATCACTACATTTATATGAGAGAAACTTCAAAGACATTGCAGTGAATTTTGTAATGTGTTACTCATCATGTGTAGTTTATTCTGGGTCCAATACAGTCAATAGGAAATATTGATATCATTATATAAATGAGGTATAATATTAATTAACATTAAGTTGTTGATATATCTAAGTGTCCAGTTGAAGTCCACGAAAAGTGTTTCATTCCTCTCATGTATCAGTTTTTAAATAAGTTTTGTTTCATATGAATACAAAAATAGGTCTGCTAATAACGGGGCGCAATTTTTTTTTTTTTTTTTTTTTTTTTTTTTTACAAATTTTAATTTAATTCGATATCTTGTTGCCTCACTTGATCCACTATGCCCAGTAATCAAAAAGGCAAACACTTTCTAACAAGCTTTGTTTAGTAATGGTCATAAGAAATATCTTTTAAAATCAATACTATAAATGTATACTTTTTGAGAATAAAATATGCACACTCAGTTCTGTTTACTTATATTTTAGTATACATGAAAGTATAATATATAAAAATTACCAGATCACAATTGTATGACGTCTTGCTGCATATTCTTACATTGCAGATGAAAGATACGTAACCGTCCATGCCACCTGCAAAGTGGAAGGAATAGACAGGTGCCCGAAGACTACTCTGTCCGTGACCCACAGTGGTGAACATCTCCATCAGATATGGCTCCAAAATACATCTACAAAATGTTTTCGTTTTTACATGTAAGTACCAATTCCAGGTCATTGTTCCCATGTTAAATGTAACAAAATATCCACAGGTTTTGAATTGCCATTATGATTTGAAAAAGAGAGGGTGCATTTTAAAGTTATGCAATCTATAACTTTAAAAGTTTTTATGCCCCCGTAATCGAAGATTCGGGGGGTATATAGTTACTGTCCTGTCCGTCCGTCCGTCTGTCTGTTAATCTGTTTGTCTGTTAACCTTGTCCATAACTTTTGATTGTTTGAGGCTATGGCTTTCATATATCACATCTGTATTCCTTGTGACAGGACCTTTCTTTGGGTACCATTAAATTTGACCTATGACCTTGACCTTGAAGTCTGACCCAGTTTTGCAAAATTTTACCCAATTTTAATCTTGTCCATAACATTTGAACAGGTGTTGCTAGGGCTTTCGTACTTCACTTTTGTAATCCTTATGAAAGACCTTTCATTGCATACCATTACCAACAACTTTGACCCTTTGAACTTGACCTTGGAGTTTTACGAACTTTAAAAAACTTTAACCTCGGCCATTACTTTTAAACAGGTTGTGCTAGGACTTTCATATTTTACAAGTATACAAATTAAACTACCTAACTCTATTTACCTTATGTTACATGTTCTTTTGTACGTTTGATGATATTCAGTGAAAAAATTGAAATAACCGGTAATTATATGTTTATCTTTAACACTGTTTAATGTAATGAACACCGTTAATTTGTTAAATGCTTCAATGAAAATCCCATTCCTTAAAATAACATTTACCTCCATAAAAATTATCATATTTTGTTTTAATTCATTTAACTATTTCCATTTATTTTATTGATAAAGCAATCATGATTTGAAAATTCACATCTAAAATCTTACCCAGAATGATGTATATCGAAAAGTTCAATTCTTCGATAGTTATATGCATCCTGTGCAGAACAGTTTTCAGGACGAATAATATAGCGAGGATCTAAAAATAATTACAGGCTAACATTATCTTATTAAACACGTAAGATAGATAACATTTTTATTATAACATATTTTACATATGTTTACGTAAAATTCTTTAATAAAACATGTTTTACATGTGTTAACAACTTACATTACAATAATGAAGGCCTGTAGAACGCAGTGGTGAAGAAGAGGTGTGTGTTGGGGGGAGGGTAGGGGTGCCCTCAACTTTTTCTGAATTAGTCTTTTGTTATAATAAATTTTCATTAAGAAAATTTTACTATTTGAAGAAAAAAATGTACAAAGAAGAAAAAAAGGAAGGACCACTCCTTCCCTCATGAGAAAAAGATTTTCCGAATTTGGACAGTATAGTTTCTTTAACGTCAGATTTTTGGACTCACTCCTACCACCCCTACTTTAATAAAGACTGTTGTCATAGACCTTTGAAGATTTTTATCTCTGAAGTTTTTTTCCCAGGTACGGCATGGTGTTCAAATAAGAATAAATCCACCTAAGATCGCATTATTTTTATGCATTTTAGAAATGGAAGATAAAACATTTTATTTAGGCTCACCATTTGAGGAAAGGAGAAGGTAAATCAGTTGTCCTGTATTTGTGTAGAAAATGTCAGATCCTCCACTGTTAGTTAAACGTAGACTTGGGTAATTATAGTAACCAGCTCTCAACTGTCTGTATGAAAGAGTAGGCGGTACGGCACTTGGACTGCAAATATGTATAAATATATAATTGTACCTCAAAAGATCAAAATCCACCGAAACAATACAATCGGGGGCAGAGCATACACAGACCGGGGGGATCAAGGTGCCATGGAGGAGTAATCATCCCCTGTCAACTGGTCACAACCGCCATGTGCCCCTCATCATGTCAGGACAAAACGAAAAAAATCCATTTGTAAGAAATGGACTGATATTTTGTATAGTTAAATTAAAGAGTAATTTTGCATATTTGGTTTCATGCTATCTTACTTGGACATTTCACGTATTGCATCAGAAACTCTATAGAGTTTTCCGTTGGTGTGTATACCATCGCAGATCAAACGAAACTCGTGGTGATCCTTTCCACCCACTATCCCACCGTGGGTGCCATGAGAAACAGCAATGTCAACTTCACCGAAATAGTCAGAGGTAGTGGACTGGTACCAATAATAGCGGGTAGTGGTAGGGAAAGGGGTTGTGCTAGTGGAATAGTACCATGAGCGTGACGTATGTGGGAATGCTTTTATTGATTTGTGACTTGGATATCCATGGTTGTATCCCCAGTAGTCGTATGTCTAGAAAAATCAACATTTTCATTCAATTAATTTTATCAAATTTGCAAGACTCCCGAAAAGAGATCCTCATTTTATTGAAAATAAAGCCATGTAGGTAATCATATGAAATGTATGTCCTTATATACGATATAACTTTTCGGTAAGGTTCACATAATAAATTTTTTATGACTACAAAGCAATCCTATCTCAATTTTAAAATTTTGTAAAACAAAACGAATTCAGTTCAACTGAAAACATATTAAACTATGCAGTCCATCTCTAAACACTTCTATTTTGTGACTTCTGATTATTAAAATATAATTTTAAAAAATTACCACAATCAGTCTAAGGGTAATGAAAACATACTAGTAATACTTTTCTACTTGAACATACACAAATTGAACAAAAGAAAGGGAAAACTGACAATTTAATTTAATTTTAAAGATTTTCCTTTTGACAATAACACAACTACATTTTTTGGCCATATACATGTAACTAAAGAATGCTTTAAAAATTCCCATTATTTCAAATAAGTTACCTTGCACATAGAGGGAATATTATATTCTCCCGGTGACGTCAGATACACTGAACAGCTTGTACTGATAACGGTAACCGTATAACCATCCGGAACTCCTCTGACATCTATACTTCCATCGGAGGAACAATCTCAAAATGGAAAATTACCTCCATTTCACATATAATTAATTTACTAGTATTCTGCACTTATCTTCGATCACTGTAGTACATTTTCTACAATGTATGTAAGAATTATTTTTAAATAATACTGTAAATCACGTTTTATTCGCGAGAACTTTAGTTTTGCGTAATTACGTATCCTCACCAAATTTCAATTCTCGCGTATAATAGTATTCCTTTGGATTATATAGAGCAATAACCACAATTCGTGAAAATTTTGTCTCCCTTATCAAGAGTCAATGATTATCTTGCGAAAATAAGGTGTCGAGAGAATATTCTGTGATCTACAGTAGGAAAACCAACGGGTTATAATTCCAAATTCTGTGTTAACCTGATTATGTAAATTGTAAATGATAATTCCATAATTTGTCAACTGTTCTATCACCATATGTTAATTGAAAACTGTCTAACGTAATCTGAAAATTTTAAAATTAATATAAATGCAAAACGTTATGTCAGTACACAGACACGTATAATTTGAAAACTTGGCATGTTTTGAAATAGAGTAACATTTACAACCCGAAGAAAAAAATGTAGCAGCTATGTGAAGTATACTTACCATAACTCAATAGACTTCGTAGTTGGTCTGTATTATATTGAGATGAGAGACTTTGTCCCAGGAAAAGCTGTCAAAAATGTATTTGTTTACTTGGTAAAACAAACTTTTGGTTGCATACATGTAAGCTTATCTAGAAGTTAAGGAATGATGACTTAAAACGAGACGATTGATATTCATGTTTCATCAAGTTGTTTGTCAATAACCTATCACGTTTTTGAAATTGTTCATACGTAGAACATGTTCTTGCGCAGAAATCAAGAGAGAGATATTGAATCCGTATACAGGTGATCAGGGTATATTGCTGCTTAAGTCATGGAAGTTGACGATTGAAAAGTGAAAGTCATCACTATATCATTTATTTATAAAACTGCGTCGTAATATACTTGCCATTAACGTTTATTTTTCATAGTAAGATATCCAAAAATTAAACAGATGTGTCAGACTCTGTGATATTTTATTTCAAAATCACCACGATAAATCGTGTCGACATATCATAAATGGAAATACAACTATTCTTAATTGACAATACGTTGTCAATATATCTAAATGTCGAGTTGATGGCCAGCGCAAGGGTTTTCTTCTTTTCGTGTGAAAATCTTTGAATAAATTCTGCTTCACATGGGGAAAATAGGACTGCTTAAAACGAAGTGCACTAGATGTGATGGAAGACCTGGTCTCCAAAAACCAAATAGATAATGTCAATCCGAAACTCTAGCATTTTTAATAGCAACTTAAGAGTATTTGTTTGTACAATCAGATTGTTATTGAAAAAAAAAATTCAAATGACCAATGAAAAAGTAAGTACATTCATAAGTTCAATTTTTAAATCGTAATTTATATGCAAAACAATTCATGATAAACTTTGGAAAAAGAGAATTTTTATAAATTATATCAATTTAAATAATTTTAATTTTTTTTTATAAAGTTCGATTAGTCATAAACACTTGGCAAATCAATTCTTACCGATAAAAGAAAAAGAAAACACATCGACATCATTGTGATCTGCTTCTATGAGATGACTGGCCTAAAGGTGCGTAATATTACGACCTTCTTTGCAAAGATAACATAAGCAAACAATTAAAATGTACGTAACATGTAATAATTTAGGAGATTAAAATATGTTGTCTTCTTTTGGGTACTGTTTGACTTTAAGAAAACGACAGTCTATATATTCTCTGATTCGTTGTAATCATGCTGTGTTTAACTGGGTAACATCATTCTGTAGACTTTGGTGACCAAACAATTTGTTACACTTTTAAGTGAAATCTTCTTTATGCAAGTTTTTTTCTTTATGGGATTACCATCCTCTCTCAGTTTTGGGGGGTATTTTTGTTGATTATAAACAAGCTTATTAATTCCGAACACTTCGTGTTTTTTTTTTTTTAAATATTGTAATTTCATCATCCGCTCGAGGGCGCTTCTCAAACCTGAAAAATCGAAATTTATACAAAAGAAAAGGCACTTACACATGTAATTTCCATTAAAAACAAGAGGCCCATGGGCCTTATAGGTCACCTGAGCATTATGCAAAAGCATGTTTTAAGCCAGATTCTATAGCATTCACAATTTTGAAAGAGGAACCATTGATCATTATAACAATACATTTAGCAGTTGCTTAGTTTGGTTATTTAATTCCCAAAGGCAGGGTAGGGGAGCAAAAAATGCATGTCAACTAATCAGTGTATAAGTGCCCCTTTCACACATGAACCCCTAACCCTTAGGCCATGCAAAGTTAATTACTTGGTTCTCAGGCCTTTTTTCAAGAAATATGATGAGGGAGGGAGGCATTTTTTTTTCTTTTTTATTGCCCCCAAAACATGATGAGGCAGCTTTTTACATTGTACAAAACCTCAAAAAATGATGAGGGAGGTCATTTGTTGTTTTTATTTTATTGATTTAGCAATAAAAAGGGTCAATGAGGCACCCTTGGAAGAGATGAGGGAGGGCCTGAGAACCAAGAAATTAATTTTTTTTGCCTTAGGCCTAAATCCACACATTGCACAATTTTTAAAAAGGCATCCTTGCTTTTCAAAAATATTTGATTAATACGAAGGAGCAGATTTCAAACAATTCATTCAGTTTCAGAATATAAGTACAGCCCCTCCCCCCCTCCTTTACGGTACCCCTGACCCTGGGGCCTTGAAATTCACAATTCTGGAAGATTAGGACCCTTGCTTATCATAACTATATAGATATGTTCACCTGCGTAATACCTAGGAGTAGAAAGGAAAATTTTCAAAGAATTCATGTATTTTCACTATAATATCAATAGAGCCCCGCCCAAACACCAGAAACCTGACCCTGGGGCCATAAAATTCACAATTTTGGAAGAGGCATTCTTGTTCATCATTACTATATACTTAGTTAGTATATTTAATACCTAGGAGCAGAGAAAAAAAAATCAAAGAATCCATGTATTTTCACTATATAATCAATAGAGCCCCGCCCTAACACCAGAACCCCTGACCCTGGGGCCATAAAATTCACAAATTTTGTAGAGGCACTCTTGCTCATCATAACTATGCACTTACTTAGTTTATTTAATTAATACCTAGGAGCAGAGAAGAAGATTTTCAAAGAATTCATGTATTTTCTCTATATAATCTATAGAGCCCCGCCCTAACACCAGAACCCCTGACCCTGGGGCCATAAAATTCACAATTTTGGTAGAGGCACCCTTGCTCATAATAACTATGCACTTAGTTTATTTATTTAATACCTAGGAACAGAGAAGATTTTCAAAGATTTTCAAAGAATTCATGTATTTTCACTATATAATCTATAGAGCCCCACCCTAACACCAGAACCCCTGACCCTGGGGCCATAAAATTCACAATTTTTGTAGAGGCACTCTTGCTCATCATAACTATGCACTTACTTAGTTTTTTTAATACCTAGGAACAGAGAAGAAGATTTTCAAAGAATTCATGTATTTTCACTATATAATCTATAGAGCCCCACCCTAACACCAGAACCCCTGGCCCTGGGGCCATAAAATTCACAATTTTTGTAGAAGCACTCTTGCTCATCATAACTATGCACTTACTTAGTTTATTTAATACCTAGGAACAGAGAAGAAGATTTTCAAAGAATTCATGTATTTTCACTATATAATCTATAGAGCCCCACCCTAACACCAGAACCCCTGGCCCTGGGGCCATAAAATTCACAATTTTTGTAGAAGCACTCTTGCTCATCATAACTATGCACTTACTTAGTTTATTTAATACCTAGGAACAGAGAAGAAGATTTTCAAAGAATTCATGTATTTTCACTATATAATCTATAGAGCCCCACCCTAACACCAGAACCCCTGACCCTGGGGCCATAAAATTCACAATTTTGGTAGAGGCACCCTTGCTCATAATAACTATGCACTTAGTTTATTTATTTAATACCTAGGAACAGAGAAGAAGATTTTCAAAGAATTCATGTATTTTCTCTATATAATCTATAGAGCCCCACCCTAACACCAGAACCCCTGACCCTGGGGCCATAAAATTCACAATTTTTGTAGAGGCACTCTTGCTCATCATAACTATGCACTTACTTAGTTTATTTAATACCCAGGAGCAGAGAAGAAGATTTTCAAAGAATTCATGTATTTTCACTATATAATCTATAGAGCCCCACCCTAACACCAGAACCCCTGACACTGGGGCCATTAAATTCCCAATTTTGGTAGAGGCACCCTTGCTCATTATAACTATGCACTTAGTTGGTTTATTTAATACTCAGGAGCAGAGAAGAAGATTTTCAAAGAAATAATGCATTTTTACTATATACTTTTTTAGCCCCGCCCTAGCACTAGAACCCTTGACCCCAGGGCCATGAATTTCACAATTTTGGTAGAGGACTCAATGCTGATTACAATCATGCTAACAGTTTGACTACTTGATGTCCAGGAGTAAAGAAGAAGATTTTCAAAGATTGCACTAATTTTAGTGGTTTTGGCCCCACCCCTCAGGCCCCAGGGGGGCAGGGATCATGAAATTCACAATTTTTGTCCCCCTTCACCCATAGATGCTTTGTGCCAAATTTGGTTGAAATTGGTTCACTGGTTGCAGAGAAGAAGCTGAAAATGTTCAAATGTTAACGGACGACGCACGACGCACAGACGCACGACGACGGACGAAAACAGATAGCAATAGGTCACCTGAGTTTACTCAGGTGACCTAAAAACAGTCAGGAATGAATATTAAACCATCATGATAAAATTTTGTTAATTAGATCTTTGCTAGCCAAGGGCTTAATATGACTTTTCTCTATACCTTGGCGGATTTCGTATAAATTTCTTCGGTGAGTCAAAAATGACAACTCATCTACAGACCCTTTTAAGTACTAGATGAACCTAGCTCTTGAATTTTAATTCTTATTATAACAGTTGGTGAATTATACACCCAATACGTAAAATATTAAAAAGTGGATCCTTTTTTTTCTTTGACAGATGAATGAACATAATGTAGACAGAAAACACCAATGTGCATAATTTTTAGTTTTATTGAGATATGATACAAATTTTGTCATTTGTTCAAATCCTATTAACGTCCTGAGGGTGTTATACTAAAATTGATGATATATCATCATCATGCCATATCCGAGAAAAAGGCTAAAAAAAGACATTTTTTTTTCTTTTATTGATTTTTTTTCGTTATACAATACAAAGAAATAATTACAATTTTTACAATTTGTTAGGAAACTGCAAAAACATTTAACTTTTACATATGGCACGCCAAATTAACAAAAATGAGCTAAACCTAGTTTCACAATTGATAAACTAGGTTTATCGACTGTAAACTACAGTTTACAAACCGTAAACTATAGTTAACGATTCGTTAAGTATAGTTTTCATCTGTAAAACTAAATTTAACGGTTGTAAACTATATTTTACGAATGCTAATCTAAGTTTATCTGTCTGTAATAAAACGTTAACAATAGATTTTGTTGATAAACATAGATTCACGTCTGTAAACTATAATTTACGATCGTTAACTATAGTTAAGAGTTGTAAACCATAGTTTACAAATCGTGAAACTGTATTTATCAGATAATCTATGTTTTGCAATCGCAAATGATTGTTTTTGGTGTTAAGTATAGTTTACGGTTCTGAAACATAGATTATAGCGTTAACTATGGTTTACAAATGTAAAATATAGATTAACGTTGTTAACTATAGTTAACAGTCCGTAAACTATAGTTTACAACCGATAAACCTAGTTTATCAACTGTGAAACTATGTTTTGCTCATTTTTGTGAATTTGGCGTGCTATATTACATATGGATTATTGAATAACACAGTTATATTTTTTACCGACATTTTTACTTTACATGTAGGCAAGTCTTTTAATATTACAAGTCTGTTTATAACAAAACTGCACTTCGGGTCCATAGCATTGACAGCTCTTTGCCTAATACGAATGTAGTATATTTATAAGTTTACAAGCAAAATTTAACTTGTTTCATGTTATCAAGAGATGGTTGTAGATATCCCCTTCCGGATCATTAAAAGGGGCGTGGTCATAGTCTGACACTGTCTCCGACGCATGCGCATCTTCATGGAGATGGTTGTAAATATCACTTTGAAGAACATTGTTTATTTCATAGGATGTACCATAAGATAATTTGTCTGCAACCTAATTATGAATTAAAACATATCATATACACTGTAAATGTTATCAAAATTTAATTATATATTTTTTAAAAAATATCTATTTTTACATGCCTTTATTTGGGGTTTTCCTCTCTCTTCCTTGAATTCGCCAGCATTTCTCTCTTCCGGACAATAGCTTTGAGTTGCAGATACCTCTTGACCGAATAGCGATTTTTAATTTAAGAATTTTTTTTTAAAATGTTAGAACTATTTTCTGAATTTCTGAAGAATAATTAATCATATATGAAATGAAACTTAATAACATAAATTGACATCTGTAATTTAAATTACAAAATAAAACCTTTCGTGGTCTTCCTTTTTCTTGCAGGCATTACGATTAATAAAGAGAACTCCACATACAGTAACACCCAACACAAACCCCCC